TGAGTGTTTCGTTGATTGAAATGAAGAGTAAATTCAATGCAATGAAACACTCATTAATTTTGAACACATTTTATAAATAAAATTAATCACAACTTAAATTGAAATCTAAAATTTTAAAAACATACAAACTTAATTTAAAACAACAAAACTTTGATTAATTTTAAACGCATTTTTGTTAATGTAATTATTAAACTAAACTTTTCTGCTTTACATGAATTGAGACAATGGGTTGAAAGCATGTGTTTGTGAACTGAAACCCCGTTTAGAAAGTAATGCCAACCAATACTATAACCACTGTTTCCCTCCCTTTCCCTCACTCTTCCAAGAAATACCTAAAGGTTTGAACTATTTTTAGCCTAATTTCTAAAACTTAATTTCTACTCATCTAGATAATACAAATATTAAATAAACATTTTAAAATTACATTATGATTGAATATATTAAACTAGAATCTACCGTGTTGAGATTTGCATTAACAATAAGTTGCTAAACAAAAAATTATCTGTCAAATATTATTCACACATTAAATAACTTAAAATTAAAGTAGTTTTGTAACTGAAATGCATTTACTGAACCATAGAGTGGCTAAAAGGCTAAAAGTATTGCAATATTAATTTCAACTGGTTCATTTAAAATCCTTAAACCTAGCGCAGGTATAGTAGATATTTAAATAACCTAGATAATTACCATAAAACAATTTATGAATAGAAAGGCAATTAAATATTTCAATAAATAATTTGATATCAAATGAATACTACTCTAATAATAGTAGAAATGCTAGATGGTGTTAGTGAATAGTGATTGTTACCAAGGTTATTTCACTAACATGTCTACACAATTATCAATACTCTGTGTGAAATACACAGCATTTCATTCAAAAATTGTATAAACCTCTTTGACGAACAGTCTATATATTTTTTTGAGCATATGTTTGACGTACTTTATAGTCACTTTCAATCTGTCAAACACTGTGATGTCATATATAGCGTCAAAAAGCGCGTGTTTTTGTAAACAATATTAATAATAGTCATTATTTAGATTTATGTTTTAATTAAAATAATAATTAGTCAATTTTTGTATAACTATATCGGTTGTATTAAGTCCTTCTGTGATCTAATGAAGTATTGGATTAACATCTCTATTGTCTTAATTTTGAATTTTATTTAAATTCATATCAAATATTGTTATTAAAAGTTTTACATTCAGTAAATATCAAAATCAAATTTTGTGCAATAAGTTGTGCTATGTTTTAGTGAAAGTCAAGTCTGAAAATAAGATAAACATCTATTAATTGTTACCAAATAATTGTGAAAACAATCCGTGAATTGGGAAGCGATGGCAGAATCGATCATTGAAGACGATAATAACGAAAACATTTGTCCAAACATTCAGCCCAGAAGAGGGCCTGGAATAACAATTACATATGAAGAGAGAGTATTAATTGTTTTCAATTATAATAAATTAAGAAATCAAGGAATGAGAAAAGAGAAGGCATATGAGCTATTAAGTCATCAATTTGATTGTCATATCCAATCAGTCAAGACTTTTGTCAGACTTTCACTGTATGTATTAATAAAATATCTACACAATACTGGCGCAAAAATTAAAACTATTAAATCAAATTCTTAATCTAATTGTGGCAATTATACCCGCTAAATATGTCCGTTGGTCTAAATTTTTGAGCCAGTTTGTTTTACCTAATTCTAAAGTATATTTACATTAAAATTATTTATTATTATTATAGGAAAGGAGATCTTAAACCAAAATCAAAAGCTAACAGAAAAAAAGTTTTTACTTTTAATAACCAAGACATTAAAGAAATCAACAAAACAATTATTCTTAATTGGAAGCAAAAGAGATTGTTGTCAATTTTTCAATTGCATAAATACATTCAAAAACATAATGTGAACGTATCGTTCAAATTATGCAAATATCACACATTTGCGAAAATAATTAAACGAATGGGTAAATTTTATTTAATATTTAATTATTCGATGATTAATATAGTACCAGGCTTATAAAAGTTGTTAATTAGTCAAAGACTTGCAAAAAATTATATATTCAATTAATGTTAAACTCATAAAATAATTGCGATAATCATTAGTTATTAAAATTAATGTTTTTATATTATATAGGTTATAGAAATAAATTAACAAAAAAATATATAAGACTATTGAAAATCAATAGTCAATATATTAAAACTCGAAGAATTGCTTATTTGCAATTAAAACGAGAATTAGAAGCAAAAAAGTATCAATTTGTATATTTGGATGAAACACATCTCGACGGTAATATTTCACCAAAAGTAATATTAACACCGATTAAAGTTGGTGATGATGGTAGTGATTGTGAAGAATCACTGAATATACCGTTAGGTATGTATGATTTTAAAAATTATAATGAACTTGATTTTAAGGCGATTTACAATGCATTGTATTTTTGAATAGGAAGAGGAAAATCCTATAGTATACTTCACGCGGGTGGGCGCAAAGGTTTTGTTCCCAATTGCCTAAAAGTGGTCTGCAATGAGACGTTTACTGCGGACAAATTTGAACAGTGGCTTAAAGAGCAATTGTTACCAAATCTTAAAAAGCCTACTGTTATTGTCTTCGATAACGCGGCTATTCATGGACGCTATACCAAAGCGTAAGTTAAATCTGTCCGGTCCCGACATTGGTTTCTATTTTTGGTGTTTGTTTTATTATTAATTCTATAAATTGATCAATATGAATGTGATTATATTTATAGTTAAAATACGTCAAATGGCGTCATTGAGTTTGTACTGCCCGTTAGTGTAAATCAATTTCTGTTCCTTCACGTTGGACTCCCAGTATCTGATGAATGCGCTCGTCTATCAGTGAATTCAAGTTCTGCAACATATTCAACACAAAACTCCAATACACTGACAGCTTCTCATCACTCAAAGTGATGTGTTGGCCGCTGTCAGTAGCGGCAGTCGTATGGCTGGACATTATGCGGTCGTGGTTGGCGAGAATGAACCGATCGGTTACTGTCTCTTTCAAAATGCCTTTGTTTTGCCACAAAGCGATCCGTCGGCGCAATATTGACGGCGAGATTGACATCACTTCACACAATATATGAGCGAATTGATGGGAAACGTGTCAATCCTATGCGCTTCTATTTCACCCGAATTGATCCGTTGATTAATCCTTTCGAACTCTTTCTCGTCTTTGTTTNTGGGAAACGTGTCAATCCTATGCGCTTCTATTTCACCCGAATTGATCCGTTGATTAATCCTTTCGAACTCTTTCTCGTCTTTGTTTATCACTTCGCAATGCGTTATATTTTTTAATTATTTAACTAATTATTTATTATTTTAAAATAGAATTCCCACAACAAAGTGGTTAGTGAAAGACATCAAAGAATGGTGTGCAAATAATGGCTTAGATTTGCCGAAGAAAATTAATAAAACGCAAATATTAATTATGATTAGAAATAATTTTAATAAAACAGTTGTTGTCGATGAGTTGATTAAAGCGGCTGGACATATACCGCTTCGGCTTCCACCGTATATGTGCGAGGTAATTTATAATATTGTGTTTTCAATTACATTGAGATCTTAAACGTTATCGACAGAGAAATTAGTTTCACATCTTTCCCACCGAACAATTCTCCGGCTCTTATTTTATACATTTATTTCTTATTTCACTTGATTTATGTCTAAATATCATTCAATCCATCAAAACATATATGCAATCAATTGAAAGAATTGTCGCAATAATTGAGATTATATTTTAATTAATGAATGCAATTCATACATTTAATTTAAGTATACATTATATACTGCATACAGTGTATTATGAGAAATTACTAAATTAATTATTTATAAGCCATAAATGCATTAACAAACTTTATTATTTAATATATTATTTTTATACTTCTAAACACTAATTATTAATTAATTTTTACATTACAATTACAGTTGAACCCAATTGAGATAGTATGGGCTGAGTTCAAGAGATTACTTTGTGTCAAAAATATTAACAATAATTCTGAACAATTCATGGCATTAATTAAAAAAACATTTAATCGTATTAATAAGAAAAAACATTGGAAGAAATGCTGTCATCATTTGATTAAAGTCGAAGAAGATTGGCTAATAAAAGACGGCATAATTTCTCATGAAAAACATTAATTTTTTTTATATATTAATCACTTTCTCTGTCGTAGTATTCAATAAAATAGTGACCGCTTTTGCCATCAGTTGTGAAATCTACGAAAGAACTGAATCCAAACTTATAATTATAACTATTACTAGTCATTGATATTCTAGTTGTTTATTGTATTCAATATATTATATTTAATTTTTTGTGATAACTATTTTTAATGTCATTTTAAATATGTCATTTTATTAATTAGCTTTAATTTTGTTAACAACATAGGAAATATAGTTATTTAACAATATTTCAAATTATATATTTAACTAATGATTACGAAAAACATGTTTTAATTGTGTGTCTAATTGTAAGAGAAATTGATCGCCACTTTGTTTGCAAAGTTTTTTTTACTATTGAAGTAAATATATTAGGCGTTAAATTTTGTAATAATTAAATACAATTAATACTTGAGTTTACGCAAAAAAGTAGCGATTGATTTCTTTTATAATATACCGATAAAAAGTGAATTGATTTAAATTGAAAGCAAACTTTTAACTCATTTTGTGGTTATAATTGTAATAATAGTATTTTCTCAGACATTCATTAATAATTCATTATAAAAAAATCTACTTAAATATGATATCAAATATTTTACACACAAATAAGTTTTATTTCTCTCTCACTTTCATAATACATGTGTGTAATTATAATCGTCAGAATAATTGTCTGTATTCTCGTTTTGTCTTCTAATTACTAAATATTTTGTTTTGCGAATGAAACTAAATATACATTTTTGTGTTGTTTTGTTTGGTTTGCAAAATAGACTTTTAAGTCGTGAAAATACACCAAAAAAATTTTTGATTTGTTTTTTAAAGAATAATAATAAAGAATTACAACTTTTGAGCTTAACTTTTGTATTATGTTTTTTTAAATTGGTTTTTATTACAACTCCGGTGTCTGACTGTCGGTGTTTGTGTAATAGGAATAATTTTTAATTATTTTTATTTTGGTTAATTAATAAATTTATTAATAATAAACAATTGTTTGATAACAATTATGCGTGGTAATTGATCTATATGACATCACAGTGTTTGACAGATTGAAAGTGACTATAAAGTACGTCAAACATATGCTCAAAAAAATATATAGACTGTTCGTCAAAGAGGTTTACTTTATAGTCAAAGTAAACACAGAAATAAATGTTTTTACTTTCCTTTTGTTTAAAATGTGTACAAAATTAATGAGTGTTTCGTTGAGTGAAATGAAGAGTAAATTAAATGCAATGAAGA